GCGGCCACTGCACTCCAGTCTGGGCGACAGAGTGAGATTCCAACTCAAAAAACAAAAACATTAATATGCCCCTATTGCAAGACTGGCAGGAATAGAGACTGAGGGCAGAAAGCTCACTTAAGTACTAAGTCAAAAAATGACTCTAGTTCAGGATCAGAAAAGGAGGAAAGGGGAGGGAGATAATGGAGGTAAAACATGGTGCCAAGGAGAAACGACAGCATTTTAGAGCTGGGAGGGACCTCTGGAATCATAGACTCCAACACCGTCTTCGTAGGAGCAGGGAAAGCAAAAGGAGAGCAGAAAACCGAACCTGCTCAGAAACTGTCTACGACGTCACACTGACTCAAACAATCAAGAGTTAATCCAATTAAGGTTTGGATTTCCTCCAGGACGTGGAGGGCGTAATCAAAGTTGCATTCTAGTCAATGAATTAAGGCGGCCAGTATTCTCATGCTTTTCAATCTGAATTCCAATTCGTTTCTCACAGGTAACCCTCCAAGGCGCGCCCAATTAACGCTCCTCCCCCACCCTGAAATGGGTCTTCCCCTATCTGACATTCCAGCAACACTCTTAAGAAATTTTCTATTGATTTAAATAGTTCAGGGCTCCCTGAACTGTTCATCTGCTTGATAATGTTCCAAATTTCAAAGCGTTATTGAACCATTTACGACCGTGCCCTACAGGACGCCCACTGCAGCCGGGCGAGGAAAACACGAGTCGCTCCAGGAAAGGGAGGCCTGAGGGAGTCGCGCTGCGCTCTAGAGGAGGAGGCCGCTGGGGCGAGTCTGGCTGCAGCTGGGCATTTCCTTTTTCCGCTCCAAACGTCGGGCTACGGGGACACAGGGCGGGCAGGCACAGAGGCTGGTCCGCGCGTCCCTCTACCCTTGGCCGGTGCCCTCCTTGAAGAACCAGCGGACAGTCCCAGCTCCCGGGAAGCGAGAGCGGGAGAGCCGGCGCCATGGCTGCTCAGTCCCAGGCGCGTTCTTACGCTCGCCCTTAGACGCTCCCAGCGCAACTCTGGTTTCCGGGTGCGAATAGGAAGCTACTCGCGAAACCCCAGAGCCCTCACTTTGTGGATGGGCACAGACAGCGTCTCCGTTTCCAAGGAAACAGGCAGTGCCATGACGTCACTTCCGCCGACCTGCCTGGACTCCAGACTGTTGGGAGGAAAACTGAGCAGAGCCACGACAGTGGACGCGAGCGTCTCCTCTCTGCGCATGCGTCCGCTCAGCGGCCTGCTTCTATTTATGTGGGGGATCCAACATGGCGGCTGCTGCGACCCTGGCGATGGCGGTGGAGCCCATCAGAACATAGTAGCGGGGAAGGGGGCACCGTCCGCACTCACCGTGGCGACGGCCGAGACGGCTGAGGGTGGTGGAGGGAAGAAAAACGACGGAGAGAAAAAGGAAGGGCGGGCGGGCACGCAGCGCGGCGTGGGAGCGAGCGCCGGCTCGAGCGAAAGCCGAGGG